CAATTCGGTCCTATCGTTTGGGTGCTGAAGTGTAGATGTTAGCCCTCAGGCGAGGGGAACGTGGGAGCTCCGAAGTGAGAGTCGGTATCCTCCCAGCCTAGCCGCAGATTCAGTAACCAAGCATAAGATTAGTCAATATTCTTTGTCTGGTTCAAAAGGTAAAGAATAGGTATGCTCCTATTTAGCATAATACAATTTGAACTAATTCAAGTTATCCATTCACTTAAATTTCTTGACAAGGAGAAGGGTGTTTTCTTATATATTGAACTTCATATTAGAAACTTTATTAGTAGAATTAGTTAATTAAGAGTTTATTAAAATTACATTTTTATTTCAATTGTCTATTAATGACAAATATGCAATTTGAATTATATTGTTGTAATTAAGTATTGATTTTTTTTAAATCTTAGTTCGTAGCCTCTAATATTACTCCTTGTGAGATCGATATCCAGGACTCCATTAGAGCCCTGTATTACTTGAGCGATACGTATACTTGCGTTGATAAGTGTGACTTTGCAATTATTAAATATTTTATACACATCTTTATCAAATCTATAACCGTTATCAAGTTTTTGGCGCCGTTGCCGGGGATTTAAATCTTCTAGCAGCAGTATCAAATTCTTGTATTTTTAAGCATATATAAAATCGTTGCCATCTTCTCGTTCGATCTCCTTTCCTTTTGACCTGACCAAGGATTCTCTGATCAACACTTGGTTAGACTTTGCAACTGGAGCGATTGGCGTGGCCTTTGACTGCATCTCCATGAGCTTTTTTATCATCTCCTGCATTTCTCCTATGCTCTCAAATCCATCATCCATTCAACTTTCTATGGAAGAAAACCTATCATTCATGGTGGTGAACATTTCATCCATTCTCGATCTGATTTGTCCGACCTCTTCTTCTAGCACATCCATATTCTTGATGCCATCCCACCAAGATCAATGCTCTGATACAATTTGATATGCTTCAGAACCAAAATCAACGAACAAACAACAGCGAAACAAAAAATAGATAGATGAAAAACTCAAACAGGGGTTGCTCTTACGGAAAATAAAGGAAAACAAGCAAGTTAAAATGATGATCTACTTTTCTAGAGGCAGATCTTCTCTTCCACAATCATAGACGTCGCTAAGAACACAATAAGAGAAAAAGAAAACAACAGCCAACAAAAATATGCATAAAGAAAAATAAACCATGGGTTACTCCCCTTGATAGAAAACCTCCCACATTATTTCAAACTTTCCATCCAAACTTTCCCTCTAAATTTATTTAATTTCTCCTCCTTGAGTATGTAATTAAGGCACTCGTGGACCCCACCTGCTCCCTGCCTTCTTCTGTCGCAGCAAACCCCCCCCCAACTCTTTCTCGCACATGCGACTGACCCGCCTGCTCCAGGGGCAAGTCAGTTGGAGGGCTCTCGGCTGTTACTGATCCACATGCAGGAGGTGTTATGAAAAGCGACGACAGTAAACTGATCAAAAAATTGCAAACCATAAAATAACACAGATTTACGTGGTTCGGCTAATTTGACTATGTCCACAGAGTTGCAGAGGATTTTAGTACTTCGAGAAATTACACCGTCGAGCGCTTCGACGTTTACAAGAAAACTTCATTTCTCTTTCTCTCTTCCTTTCGCTCTCTTAGCTCTCAAGAGGAATTGACTTAAAACTTATGAAAAACCATAAGAGTCTATTTAAAGAAAACGGAAGAGAGTTGAGTGGGACACGGTAGGTGAGGTAAGTAAGTCACAAACTCCATATATTTAACAATTCTCCTACTTTGAGACTGAGACACTGACTGCACCACCTACAGACTATATCATTTGCTGGTTGTACCAGCCTTTTTCTTCAAATATGATATCATTCACATTTGCAACTCATGGCTCCTGTCTTCACGTTGGAAAACCAACTGAAGTCGAGCACAACTTCAATTTCTCAAAAGTAACACTCTTAGTTGACATATCAGCGCCAACGTAGTCTTGTACCTCCAAGCTTTTTCCAATGTTACTCATAAATCTGCTTACAACTCCCACTACATGGGCAATATCTTGCCTTAGTTGAAAGTCATTTTCAGCAAATCCAGACTTGTACCTCTTCCTGTCATCAAGCGCAGTCTTCACCCGGTACACTCACTTGTTGTGCAATGTCTTCTTCTCTGATGAAAATTCTGTCAGCACCCAAGTCTAATTCACTAGCAGGGAATCTGTTTCCTCCTTCTTGGTCAGCTTCCACTTGTTTGCATTCTCATCTTGCAAGATTTTTTTATAGCTCTGGCTCATGTAACTAAGTCTATAATGTCGCGGATTTGTTTTGCTCTCTGCACTATAGTAGCAATAGTGTTGAGTAAACCTATAGTCATATATATAGGTTTAATGCTAATGCTCTTTTAATTACATTTCAGATGCTATTTGAGAACACTACTTAATTACCACCCTCATTGAGCTGCCTAACAGAAATGAAGTTTTTCTTCAGCTCAGAAATGTATCTGATATTTTGCAAAGTTCATTTGCTCTTTTTAGGGAATGCAATATCAACGTCTCTCATCCCCACCACGTTCAGAGTCGTTCCAACAACCAGATATACCTTCCCAAAGTCACCTGCAAAAAATTTCGCATCAACTCCCGGTGGGAAGATGTATGGAAGGAAGCATTTGTATTCAGTATCCAGTCATCAACAGAACTGTTAAATGTCAGCAATAGCCCATCCTGTATTTCTTCAGTTACAGCATTAGCGTCATCATTCTCCTTCTTCTTAGGATTCCTACAGTTCTTTTTTTATGTGGTCCAAGTTGCTTGCTGATTAGACGTTGAGGTTGTCTGTTGACCAGACTTTGATTTTGATATTCTTCTGTTTGAGTTTTTATCATGTGATCTCCCTCTGGAATCAATATTCAACGTCGAAGTTGAACATGAGACCTCGCCAGAATCTTTCCTGCGCAGCTCTTCGGACAAAATTAAATCACGAATATCAACATATTTCAGTTTAGATTTACCTGCAAAACTGTTAACTATCATCCTCATGGCTTCCCAGATATTTGACAATAAAGCCAATAATATCAGCGCACATTTCTCATCGTCAAAATCAATTTCAACAGACGACAACTGATTTGTGATAGTATTGAAATCATTCAGATGTCAAGCAACAGACACATTTCATGACATTTTCAAGTTGAATAACATTTTCATCATGTGCTTCATCAAAACTTTTTCATCAAGTGCACCTTATTATTCGTCGATGGCTTTTCATACATACCTGATAAAGCTGTCATGAGATCTGTAGTAATCTTTTCCTTGATGACGTTATGGGCAACAAATCTTGACAGAGTTAATCGAATAACCCCCAGAACATGTTGATCCAATAGGTTCCATTCCGCCTCGTTCATCTTTTCTGGTCGTTTTCCCAGTAACGAAAGATAAAGTTTCTTCTCATAGAGGTAGTCTTCTATCTGTATCCTCCAGTAAACAAAGTCTGTGTCATTGAACTTCTCGATCCCCGATATCATCACTTCGTCTCCGCCTATTATTCTTCCTTAGATTTGAACCAAATATCTAATATCAATTGTTATGAAAAACAACGACAATAAAGTAAAAAAAAAAACGGATCGAAAAATTGCAAACCAGAAAATAACATACATATTTACGTGGTTCGGCTAGTTTGCCTACGTCCATGGAGCTCCTGAGGATTTTAGTACTTCGAGAAATTACACCGTCGAGCGTCTCGACGTTTACAAAAAATTTTCTTTTCTCTTTCTCTCTTTCTTTCTCTCTTAGCTCTCAAGAGGACTTGTTTAGCACTTATGACAGACCAAAAAGATGTTATTTAAAGAAAATGGGAGAGAGGTAGGTGGAGAGAGGTAGGTAGGAGAGAGATAGGTGGGAGAGAGGTAGGTGGGAGAGGTAAGTTACAGACTCCATATATTTAACAGGAGGCTAGAAAATCGGTGGGACAAAGGTAGGTGAGACGCAGTATGTGAGTTAGGTAAGTCACAAGCTTCATATATTTAACATGAGGCAAAACAGATCTATGATAGGTTAACTACTTCAACCCATCTGGAAGAAAAATAACTTTATTATCCTGAGATGCTAATCTAGGAATTCAGGAACAAACAAAAACTTCGATTTCAATTAAAAAGCCGATGCCTCGAGCTTCCAAGTCACAGCACCCAAACCACAAATTAGTATCAAAATAGATAGCTTCAGTTCATAAGCATCAAATTTAACAGGACTTGAGTTCGTTCCTGGATTATACCAGATGAAATAAAAATGGGAGTAGGATTAAAATGTTCTTACCACCGAAGCATGAAGTGAGATTAACAATAAAGAGCAAGACTAATCTGGATAAAAGAACTGAAACCAAACAAAGTTGATCAGATGCAATAAGCACTGCCGCATTAAAATCTCACACAATCAAAACCAAACAAAAAGGAAAATACAAGCAGCAGCTCCTTACTTCGCAGGCCTGATCTCAATTCCCTGAACAATAAGGCCGCCCTTCCAGTGCAGGCTTTCGGTCTCCAATAAAGAGATGACAACCTCCCCATCATCTCCCTCTTCATTGTAGAACTCCCCCAATAAAACTTCTAGCCACCCATCCTGCCTTGTCTTTGGTCCTCCTACCATTTCTGATTCATCTTGTGCTTCTTCAAGTGGGTTTCCCCATCGATCATACTGAGGCTCGTCCGCCGCATCAGGCAAATCATCCTGCAGCTCCTCTGGTTGATCATGCAGAAGCTCTTCTAAATCCATCAGGCAAACTGACAAATTCGAGACGTCAGTTCCTACGACAACCGACGCCTTCTGAGGAGGATACCTAAAACCCCATGCACTATTTGATAATTTGAATACAAGATAGGCTGAATATTTTGACTGTTTGGAGAGCATCCGCGAGTTAATCCTGCCTCGGATCTCCAGCCAGCACACATTCGTTAGCTCAGCAACTTCCGAAAACCTTGCAGAATAACACTCTTCTCAATCACATAAAAAACATGTAATAGCTACTGCAGTATGTATCATACATGAAAATTTCAAGGAAAGGTTTTGCAAAGAATCAAAAACAAAATTATTAGCACTGCAAAAAAGCAATAATGGTATTTGAAAACTTGTGCAAGGAATTGAAGCTTCCGTATTTTTTTAAAAAAAATCTAGATTTTCATTACAAAACAATTGAACTCCTCATTTTTTAAACTCATTTTAAATGCAACAAATGCAGGGTGGGGGCATCATTGTGCGGGTTCTGCAAATATTGGAAAGTGCAATTCAAAAGTAGTTTAAATGACAGAACTGTAAACATTTCATATTGTAATCACATGATTGTATGCTGTCCCATGTTGCATTATAAGCCATACTATACTCGATTGTTATGATTTTAAATGCATTACCCTATAGAATCAAATTCCAAAAAAGGGAAATGGATCTTTGATAAAGATTAATTAGATCTCATGGTGATAAAAAATTATAAAGGATTGTAAGAGTCATTCAGCATTAAAAGATAAACTAAATAGACCATATGTGAATGAAACAACCAACAAATTTAGCTAATAGAAGAGGCTAAAAAAAAAAGATCATGATGGAACGATAATCTAAGTATTTCAATCTATAGAAGACAAAAAATTAAGAAAGAAATTCCACTTTATGGCATTGAACACATATAATTTTGACAAGGAATAAGCATACAAACAACAAAGATACGCAGGCAGATATATAACCTTCCAAAAAGACATTGCTTTTGAAATATCTCAAAATGGAATAGATCCTAAAATTAGTTGAAAGATGAATTTGAGAAGCCGAATAAATGAATTGCTCCACACTAGAAGATAAAAAAGGACTAGTAAAGCGAACATTGGAAGTAAACTAAAAATTTGGTTTCAACATGAAATAAAAAAAAAATCATAACGAAGATCAGTTATAGATGAGACAAATACATAAATTTGCTCATCAAATGAATCAGCGACACACGTAAAAAAGGAAATATAAAGCAATGCAAATAATATAGAACAAATCCCTTTTTAGAGTTAATAAAGTTTGAAAAACGAATAAAATACATCGTAAAACTAATCCTTTAAGGTTACATCAGGTGACACGCTATTTAAACCACCAGCTTACATAAGAAAAACTATGATGTTTTCCATCAACTCCTACCTTTTAATAAACTGTTAACAATGTTACTTCTACGTTCAAGGCGATAATGGAGAGTGGAGAAGGCTGCCGTCCAAACAAGTTCAATGATGTAAAGCAAAACGACCATCCCTGAAAAACAATATTATTCTTCCGTATCTCCTCATCACTTCAGTAGTTGTGTTCAAAATTTGCTTGTGTTCGAAATTATTGATGAACATTGTGTTTGTGTTATGCTCGATTCAGGTGTATTGTGTTCGTGTTCGACTCAAAATTGACTCAAATTTAATATCAAAAATTATTATTTTTTAAATATTTCCAAAGAATGAGAAAATGCAATAGCTGTTTCTTCCAAACAGTCGCAAGAAAACTTTGTATGATCCTCTTTTTTACATTTAAACAACATTGTTGAATCCTTTATTTCCCATGTGGGACTAAAAGTAGGGCAGGTAGCGGAATTTTTTTTTTGTTTTGGGAAAAGTTTTACTGCTATTTACATACATATACCACCCATTTAGCATGCATTTATATATCCCAAACATACGAGCATTTACAAACATACCGTCCAATTCTATCGTGCTTACATATCTAACAGCCCCATTGACAATGTTCAGCTGTATTTTAGGGGATATGTACATATATACCACCAAAATCCTATGTATTCACATACCCAATGCCTAAACTTTTTTTTTTTATATAATAGTACCATCTAAATAATTTTAAAAATAATAAAATTTAGCATTTTTTAAAATACCTGAAAATTTTAACATAAAAATTTTATAAATAAATATTATTATTTAATTATTTAATTATTTCAAGCCAAAACGAGCCAAACACGGACGAACAAAACTTTGTTTGTCTTTGGCTCGTTTATACATCGGGCTCAAGAAAATTATTTGTGTTTGATTCGCTTGTTTAACGAACAAATTGAATACGAGCTTTTAACGAGTTGAACATGAGTTGTTCATGAACGATGAGCTTTTTTGACAACCCTAATAGCAGCATAGGAAGACAAACAAAACAAAACAAAACAAGCAACTTTTAGCAACCAAAACATAAAGACAAGCAAAAAAATAAAGAAACATTTGTTAACAGAAAAAAGGGAGCATTTACATATATACCACCTAATTCCTATTCATTAACATATCTAACATCTAAATTTTACCTTTTACTTTTATACAACTCAAATCTTTCATAACACATAAAATTTACCATCATTTTAACTTTGAAAAGTGAAATACTCCTTTGCATGCATAGGTAAGGAGGTATTTATGTAAAAATTAAAATTTGGGCCTTAGGTATGTAAATACGTAGGAGTTATCTATCTATCTATATATATATTAAACCTTTCAAAATAAAAATAAAATGAAAAAGGAGAGTTGGGATTCAATGAGTCAATTTATGATTTGTCACAAATCAACTGATCAACCCAAAACTTCATCCATAACAGTTGAATTTCAAATAAAAATCAGAATCAATTACAAAAGAGGGCAGAAGCGGAAAAAAAAAAACCAGAACAATTTCATTACCTTGATTCAGGGTGATGAATCCATGTCCAATACTCCGGAGTCTCCCCCCACGCAATCCCAAGCTCCCTCGCCGGCAAGACGAAGCACTTGATTCCCGTCTCTCTGTCCACATAAAATCCCTGGCAACACAAACCATCATCGATACAGAATCAAAACAAAAACCTAAAATATAGGAACAAAGCTACAAAAATCTTTATATATTGAAAATTTAAACAAGAACAAACCATCTTCCCACCGTCAATGAGAACTGGATCGCTGAGGCGGAAATAGAGATTCTTCATTGAATCGAATTCCACTCGATCGACTGCTCGCGCGAGGATATCAGCGTAATCCGACGGTAAAAAACGCTTCCACACGTCGTCGGAGACCGCCGCCGATCGAAACCCTGCCGATACAGCCTCTGATCGGCACGCATCTCTGGGAGAAGTTAGCGATATCGCCTGCGACACGCACTCTTTCGGCAGTCCCAGTATGTTTCTACAGACTGCACCGCTTCCTCCGACCTCCATCTCTCTCTCTCTCTCTCTCTCTCTCTCAACGTCAAAGAGCAGAACAAAGGAGTGGTATTATTGACTTTACTATAATCTCTTCACAAAAGGTTAGTACAGTATGGTTATTGAGTAAATTAGGGCGAAGAAAAATAGTAACTACACAAATTCATAAGAACACAGAAATTTAACGAGGTTCGGCAAAAATGTCAGGAGCAGAGCGGCGAGTTACTTTTAATATTCAGAAAAGAGGTTACAAAATAGAGGATGCCTCCTGGGATTACTAACAGGCCTATTTATAACCCCAGGCGTAAACCTTATGCACAATATGTAATTACAATATTACTCATGTACCAAACTGCAGGGCTTTGCCCCCGCACCCCAACCCACGTAACTTCCCAATTTGGACAGATTCTTCCGCTCTGCTTTGATCCAGCGTCTGTCCCTATATGGTATATGAGTCATACCATAACAAATCTTCACCTTGGCGAATATCCAGCCCCTTAGGAGAAAAAATACATGGGAGTTATACCTGCACCACTGTGGGTTGGGTCACTATGCTTCTCTAGCAACTGCAAACATTCAACAAGCCCAAGCAATGCAAAAACTTGTTGATAATAACTGGCTTGGTCAACATATCAGCTGCATTCTCATCAGTATGAACCTTCTGCAACAGTATCTCCCCAGAAGCAATCAACTCTCTGATCTTGTGATACCTGACATC